GTCGCTTTTATAGCCGTAGTAAAATAGGCATATTTGTCATTCCCAAGATGGCGCCAAAAAAAAATTTTTTTTGGGCTGGAATATATATATCATGGCTTTCATTCTGTAGTTATATGATGAGCCAGCTATAATAGTCTTGCTTTAGTTATAATAAGATTTTTTGCTCGCTTTTCTCCCCAAGCTTAGACCAAAATCTAAAATTTTGCTTGATACGATATAACACTCACGCTTTCCGATGTTTTATTATGGAGCCCGCTTTTGCAAAGAAAACACACAAAAAAATCAACAAGGATAGTCGGTTACTATGCAAGTAGCACAAAATGCTCCGATCATAGTCTTAAAAAAGTACAACAAAATTTTAAAAACTATTGTCTTTTTTTTCGGCGTGGTGTGATAAAAGGAGGTCAACAAAAAACTGGAGATTAGGTATATTCGACATTCATAGTAAAATAAGCAAATTAATAAACAATTTTCGTAGTTTTTTGAAGTTTTTGATTCTCAAAATGGCGGTTTTAAAACTCCAAAAACTAATTACACTCGAGTAAAACTGAAATTAAGATAGATAAGCTATTGTAAAGGGCCTAAATTAAGCATAAGTAAGCATGCTTGCTCGCTTTACTCGCTCGAAATAGGACGAGAATTCAAAAATTTCAAACTGGTGTTCTTGACACTCGAAACCGAAAAATTTTTTGGAACTTTTTTAATATTGTTCGAAAAGAAAAAGGGAAACACAGCCTAAGACTAAAGTGCTTCCCCATTTTCGATGGTCGGAACGAACAGCAAAATTGACAACAGTGACAAAAAAATATGTAGCTGCTGGTTTGTTGGCGTAAAAGTATCTTCAACTGGCATTGGATGTAATGTTAAGTTTCAGAAGTTTTTTATTCGAAGAGTTTTTGAGTAAAAAACAGTAAAAAATAGTTCATTCGACAAGAAATTTGAATTTAATTTGATGTACTGCCTGTGGACTTTACTTGAAAATCGCCGGTCCAGCCATAATTTTCTACTTAGAGGGAACTCGTTACTTGGTACCATTGAAGGGTATTGAGGTGTTGAGAGATAGTTTTTTATCAGATTGATTGCGCGTCAATATTTTGAGTCAAACATCCAATTCAAGCCAATAATTTGTCGTAATTGAAGTAGTATCGCGGCTTTTTCTGTTCATCAGACTGCGGGAGGAGGTAGGAGACAGATGAGATTCGCCACCTCGGATCACGACTCCATCTACGACACAGACAACCAATCCAATTCAGAAGAACATGATGCATTTGGAGCATGGGAGGGGGAAGGGGAAGGGTACTCTGCGTTCTTGTCTAGGGAGTCCAGACCAATCACTAGATCCGTCACAAGGTCAGTACGCCAAAGATTTCAAGAAGCAATATGATTAAACTAATTTTGAAAATTTTAATTGAGTTTCATTGAAAAAAGCCAAAAATGAATAAAGTCAAAAGGAAGCTGAAGGAGAGACAAAATATGACGATTGTTTTTATAGCACGTAAATGGTTCGATTTTTTTTGATTACTTTTTTGTTCAAAGAGGGTCCAGATTCTCCAGCAACTTATACGAAGACAGTGGATCAAACCGCAGAGCTACGCCTTTTAAAGGGACAAAACCAATGACAGCCGATGAATTGGCTTCGTCCATACACCGACTCGCCTCTTCAGTCGGAACGCGACGGGGAAAAACCGCCGGAGGCAATGACTCATCACACAATCGAGGAATGTCGGCAAATGATTGGCGAGAACGGGACAGTGATAGTCGGATTATGCCGCTCGGACAACAACCGATGGATGCTCAAAGAATCAGCGACTTAGTAATACGATTGACCACTCCTAAGAGCAGCCACTCTTCTAGGTCCAGAGACACTTTGCCCAGCATCCGAAGAGTGAACCAAAAGCCGATGTCTGCACTGCAATTGGCAACTCTCACTGATCGACTGAACCGGTGCTCAGAAGCAGTCGACGCCCAGAGGATTCCCAAGCCAAACCAGAGAAGATTTGGAATAGTAAACTCGTTTATGTGGAAAGGGTGGAACTAAAAAAGGATCCCTACATAGATGATTGCTGATATGAAAATTCACTTTGACCGAACCCGTGTTCTATTATGTTTTGTTATATAAATAATTTTAAGATTGAATTATTTGTTAAGCCAATAAAAATATAACTAGAATATTTGATCAAATATTGGGAAAGTTGTAAAAAAAACAAGCACAATTGATATCATTTTGACACCTGATATATAGCGTTTCACACCAACTATTTTGCTTTAGAAAACTGGTGAAAAACTTAGGATATTAACACCGTACCGTATAGTTTTTTTTTGCAAAGCTTAATGCAAATCTCCCATAGAATTTTCCCTAAATTGCTAACGGACCAAATAAATTTTCTCTTCTTTAGGATGTGTGGCTTTCTGTTTGTTTTTCTTTCACTGAACAAAAATTACTTTTGAACTTCATTTTTCGTTTTGGCGATTTAAATTTTTTTCTATAAAGGTTCATATTCAATTTTTTTAGTTCATTAACACCTTCCAACGGTCTGTACTCTGTAGGCTGCAATTAAAAGAAAAGGATGGTTGGTCAATAAATCTATGTATCAGTAAATGGAAACGAGCGGAAAAAAATCAGTGAAATTGTCTTTTTGTTCCGAATTACTAAGGCCGATTTTTTATTCAGACCAATTTTTAAGCGAACAATTTCTGTGTGGGTGCTCGATCCCTGGATTTTTGTGTTCTCGGCGGGGTCACGCTCACCACTATACCAACTTGTCTCTACCATGCACATTAGAATTGAGGCAAGCTAATCAGTATTTTTAATTCATCATTTTCATATACATTTCATTCATATATATTAATTAAGTCTCAACTCATGACCATAAACTATTCGAAACTTGTTAAAGGATAGTCGGAACCTTCAAAGCTTTGCTGTGATAAGCGAGCACTCATGTTTGATTAAGTAAGACATGAATTGATGAGGAAGAATTAGTAAAAATCAGAAAAACGAAAAAAAAACAAAAACAAAAATGAAACAAAATCTTGTAATGTACTTAACAATTTAAAAAAAGTCATTGAAGGTCGATATTTACCTTTACAAGAGCAAGTGTCTTGTAATCGGAACTAGGCTTTTTTCGCGTAGAAATTCTTTCTTACAGAACTTAATAGCTTTTCTCACTTGATTTCTTATTGAACCCTGAAAACTTCCAGGTTCGTTCCCACTTGATTGCCTTTGTAACTTAAGATTTGAAGTTCCAGTCCCGGTGGGACTTTGTGTTTTTCAGTATAAAACTAAATTATAAAAATATTTTCCGGTAAAAATTGAATTGCCGGGTTTTCGTTTGTTTGCTTAAGTTTTGACGGCTTAGTTGCCACATTACGAATTTTCCTGCGCTTTAATCAATTTTGAGTATAGTTACAAAAGCTTATTCATTGTAATCTCATAGAGAACTTGATTTTATTGGCTCAACTGGTGTATGCTCAAAAATTGTCGGCTTGGTTTCAGCTTCGTAATTTTTATTCCGTTGCTAACTTATTATTCAAAATTCGAACTTGCGAAAACTGTTTTTACATTTTTGATTTTTTTCTATTTATGTTTTTAGGTATCGCAAGTGATGCGAAGCTCCGCTTTGCCTCTGTTTGAAAAATTTTGATTCCAAAATTTTTACAATAATCACGTTGTTTCGCTGAATGATTTGGAAACTTACTAAATTTTGGCTCGAGCTATTGACCACTCCCCGTTCAGAGGCTTTGTCTTTCTTCCATTCACCAGAAACTTCACAAAATTCGTCTTGTAGATTTGGAATCGAGATATCAATTGTCCTAACTATGTTCACTCAAAAATTAAGCTCCTCGTTTGACTGATACGAAATTCAAGCTAAATTATAACGAAACTTGCCATTTATCTACGCCGTATAAGTATGAACACATTGTTCAAATGTGAAACACCTGGTTTATGAGAAACAATTATGAAAACAATGCCTGAGCTGTTCAACTTGCTTGCATATGATTGAAGCAGCTAACCAGGGTACCTAGCCTCAAAAAAAGTTTTTTGTTACGATTAACGAAAGATTTGGGCTTCTTTTTGACGCAACTTCAGGTACCACAAATAAACGCTAGATTGGTTTGAATGGCACGCCATAACCAGAATAGTCACAAGAAATAAATAGCCCAGAAAGTTCCAACCAAAAAAAAACTAAAATTCAACTAACTTTGTCCCAAGTTTGTGCCACATTTTGTTTGCGTGTGACTAGATGAAAAGAACAAGTCTGAAGCTTATAACATAAAAAGGGCACAAAATTTACAGTTGTTTTGAAAAAATTAACAAACAAAAATTTAAAATTTTTCGCTGTTTTTGAAAAAATTTAAATTGCCAATGAAACGCTTCGAAAAGCTTCGGAATCTATATATTTTTGAAATAACACTTAATTTCTTTGCCTAAGTAAGCTTATTTTTATTATTATGAGACCTACTTGTTCGCACAAACTTATAAGGCCTACTTTGTTTGCACGAATTTAGACTTAATCAAACATTTTAAACCTTTTTTTGACACCGCAATAAGGAATTACGACTGAGGGAATGCTAATTTGATACAATTTTGACCCACTTTGAGAATTATTTGTGGACCTAGCTTTGCGTGGAAAATTGGCGGTAAAACTTTTTTGGCGGTAATAAATCATTTTTCTTGGTATCCAGAAAAAGAGTGAATAGACAGACTGTACATTATTTTAATCAGCATCGGAAATAATAGGTGTCAGAACAGTTTGAGATACATGCAGATTTTATCAATATATAGCATCAAGCGACTATTTGTTTTTTTTTATGCATCAAAAAAGCAGATGTGAATGATTTTATTAAAGCACAACGCTAAGAAAAACTAATAAAAATCTCCAAAACTTCTGCAATATGTAAGGAAACAGAATCCTTTTTAAAAATTTTAAGTAGCTCCGCTTAATTGAGGCGTAAAAATTCAATCTTTGAATGAACTTTGCAAAAACATTCTAAATAATTCAATTTACAATTAGCTCAAGTTTTTTCATGTTTCTAACCATTGTAAGCGGATTCTGCAACACGCAAAAAAATTTACCCGGAAGCCGCAACCTTGCTAGTTTTTGTTGATTTTCTCTGATGTTTTTGAACTCCACGAATAAATAATCAAAAACTTTATTGCTCAAAATCGCTTCGAATACAGGCAAATTTTTGGAATCCGCAGAACTATTAGCGGAATCTGTTGCGAACATTGCTGAATCCAGAATAGGTATTGAAATCTGCCTAAATTATAAGACTCCGCTTACAATTTGCGGAATTTGCTTTAAATTGCGGAATACGGAACAAATAGCTATTGTCCGTCGCTCGTTACGGAGTCCGCGACAAAACTAATGCTCTGAAAAAATACCTTACAGGTACTTGTGGTCGAAATCTAAGCATTTTTTTGCGGAATCTACTTTCAATTTTAAACACTTTTAAAGACTCTTCTCTGGATTCCAGTGACTGACAAGCACCAAACTGTGCGCTTTTTGATCCATTGTTTTCAAATTTTTTTTGTCTTTTAAGCAGTAGAAGTAATTGAACTAGCCAACCAACTTAAAAATATTACGTAAAATATCAAAAAAAATAAATGATCGAAATTTGGAAAAAGTACTTATCACGACCGCAAGTGTTTGAATAAAATATATGACTCGAACCCTTTCGACGAAATGTTTTGATACCTGATTTTGTGTGGAAAACAAAAATTAAATTAAAACATCTGATGATTTAAAGAGATGCAATACGTATACAAAACTGACGTTGTTTGAAAATCAAAACATGTTTAACCAGAAAAATATAACCAATTGATCATTACCTTGATCATAGTCGTCTCGGAATTTGTGTAGATTCAATTTGGACTTTTTGCTACCCAATTTTTTTTCATTTTTAACAAAAGCGAAACATCAAGACAACTCAGATAATGAAACAGAACGCAAATTCTTTCAACCAAGTTTTTTTATTTGTTCTGGCCATTAAAAATGGGGAGGAATTTTGTATTCGTGTATTTTTTTTTAGTTTTTGTTTTCACTTAAAATCAGTTACAGCAAATACTAATCGGAAGAGTTCGGGTGATATATCATTGTGAAATCCTTTCAGTTGTGATTCTTACGACTTCTAAATTATTTCAAAAAATTAACCCAGTATTGAGAAAAACTTGTTCAAAATTTTTTTGATTTTTAGTCTAAATTCGTGTGAATAAAGCCAGCAAGCTGCAGGTTTACAATAGGAGGAAAAAGTTATTTATAGTTAATTTAAGCCGTTCGAAAAATTTTTTTAACGCTTGTATTAGCGCCGTTTTGGGAATAAAAAATTGTATGATTTTTTTTTAGTTATTTTTCTTTACACTGTTGACCAGTTTTGCCTATTTTATGCCTGCATGACTATCGAATATGCCTTAGTTATTGTTTTTTGTTCAGATAAAAAGATGCGTTTCGTAGTTTTTTTTAGACTAGTACCTGCTTTCCTTGTTTCATTTTATTTTTAGACTCTCGTTTTCAAAGTTTTATTATTTGAAATTTGATTTGCTTCTAAAGTTTAAAAATATCAAATGGAGGTAGCTGTCCATGGTCCGGAATTCAGTCTATCGTTAACTAAATGAGCTTCTTTTTTTGTGGTTTCCATGATTCTTACATTTCAACAAAAGATGCCGATGCTTGAAAACTCAAATCGATCATCCCCTCTTTGAAAACAAAAGACAATTTAGCGGTGTCATTTCAATGTCTACTTCTCTAGTAGATATACCAACCAATTTGTATTTGGTATTGTTGTGGCTAAACATCTGCAATTCACATGTCAATGCGTTTTATGGTAGCAATCAAAAGATCATATGAATGGAAGTCGAAAAAAATCTGCATAATAATTCTCTCTAGCGCATGAAAATTCCGTCTTTTTACAGTACTTTACAAATGAAATTGATCTTCAAATAACCACCTTTTACGTTTTATTTGGGCCTCCACTAAATATCAGTAAATATCTGATGGTTCATTCAAAGTATCCTGTTGATGGTTTCCTGCATATACGTTTTTTAAATGGAGCGGGTTACTATTACTGATACCTCTTAGGAACTTCTGAAACCGGTTATACATGACTACTACTCAGTCTAATAATATCCAACATAACAATGGCTTGATGACGATGAAAAATGGAGCGCCGGCCATCTCTCATCCTTCTGTTGATACGAAGAGAGCCTTCACTTGCCTCGCAGACCTCAGCCCCTGGTCATCTGAGTCACCCCTGCCACGGGAGATCACAAATGTGCCCAGTGAGTTGCTGGAGAAGTACCCCCACACGAAGAGGGTGGGCAACTATTTGCTCGGCAAGACGCTAGGGGAGGGGTCATTTGCAAAAGTGAGAGAAGGACTGCATACTGTCACGGGCGAAAAGGTTCGTAATTGTTTAAATTCCCATCGTAATTGGAATTCAGTTATAAATTTATTTATCTTAATGCTCGAAGCTTCTCAAGCTAATGTTATTCTGTAACAGGAATGCCCAAAGAGCTGTTTGATTTTATGCAATTGAATTGATGTCAGTTGAAGACGCTCTAATGATACAATTTATAAATATTATCTTCAGAAGAACTTTTTGTTAACCGTACGACTAGTTAAACTTTGAATAATTTTGGGAAATAGTTAATGAGTTTGGCCTCAAAGAGTTTTTTTAGGTGGCCATCAAAGTGATTGACAAGCGACGCGCCAAAGAGGACTCGTATGTGCATCGGAACCTCCGACGAGAGGGCAGGATCCTGCAGTTAGTGAGACACCCCTGCATCATTCACTTGTACGACATCCTGGAGACAGAGAACAGCTACTACCTGGTGATGGAGTTGAGCACTGGGGGAGACATGATGGAGTATTTGAAGTTGAGAAAGAGTCTGCCTGAGAAGGAGACGAGGAAGTATATCAGACAGATAGTGTCTGCTGTGGATCATCTGCACCGAGCCGGTATACTCCACAGGTATGCTGCCTGCTTTCAAGTAACAACACAAATGTAAATTTCAAGTGAACTTTGCGGCCAATGAACATTCTAACAATGGTGGCAGAGAGAAAGACATTTTTGACATATGGCAGATCGAAATTTATGAGACTATTGTCTTTTCAGGGATCTGAAGGTGGAAAATGTGTTGCTGGATGAAAAGAAAAATATCAAATTGATAGGTGAGAGTTTTTATTTCTAATTGATTGAAATATTTTATTAAGTTTCTTTTTTGTATCATTTTTTGAAATATTCTGAAATTTCGCAAACCATCTGATAAGCAAGAGATAATGCGTAGCTTAAAGAGCTGCTGTATTCTTTCTACTTTTCAAATATTCAATTTTTGAATCTTTATCTTCAGCGATCATTGATTGTTGGGCTGAAATCAGGGGCGGATTTAGGAAGGAGGGAGCGGGAAGCGGACGCTTCCCCCCTCAGGGATTCGACCAAGAAATGTTTCAAAAAGTGCCCAAAAACGGCCATAACAGCGTCTTTATAGTGTTTAAGGAGAGCAAAATCTGGTCGACCTAAAAAAAAGTTGGTCAAAATTTTCGAAAATTTTTTGAAATCCACCCTCCCCCCTCGAGAAAATCCTAAATCCGCCCTGAAATGCTTATTAGTGATCTCTACAGGCAGTAATTAATGCAAATTTGTTTTTTTTTTGCTGTAGCTGATTTAAAAATGAAAATTTTGCATTGCAGATTTCGGTTTGAGCAGACACTTCAAACTGGACGAGAATAATGTGCTAGGCGATTTTCAGCAGGCAACTCAGTGTGGATCCCCCGCCTATGCGGCTCCGGAACTACTGGGCAAGAACAAGTATGGGCCCAAAGTAGACATATGGAGCATGTGAGTACTGAAAATGATTTAACTTTTATTGCTATCCGGTTGGCCTGTAACGATAATTAACAGCTATGTCTTTCTATGATCGCAAAAATTACAGAAAATGTCTTTCTAAGATCGCAAGGAATACAGAACAAATTACAGAACAATGAATTTTGCATGAACTTCTACGGTGATTTAACCCAAGTGAGCTATATTGTTTTGTTTCTATGTGGTTATTACGGCTGACTCTGTTTTTTTGTCATTTTATTCAAGCAATGCAGATTCATGAGAAACTTTAAAAAGAAAAAAACACTACCGAATCTACATATGGACGAATAATTAAAATAAGCCCCGCTATTTAAGGCAGTTTCCACGAGGTTTGAGATTTTGGGCGTGGTTTCAGAGGCGTCAACATGTATGCGATGTTGACTGGCAGTCTGCCTTTCACAGCAGAGCCTTTCTCCATCAAAGTTCTCTATCAGAAGATGATGAACTTCGACATTAACCCCATCCCTGATCATATTACCACAGGTCATAAAAATAAAAACAATTGTCAGTCATGTATCGTAGAGCTAGACACCAATCATCACCATTTGGCCACAATAATCATAATAATAATAGTAATAATAATAATTATAATAATAATAATAATAATAATAATAATAATAATAATAATAATAATCATAATAATAATAATAATAATAATAATAATAATAATAATAATCATAATAATAATAATGATAATAATAATAATAATAATAATAATAATAATAATCATAATAATAATAATAATAATAATAATAATCATAATAATAAGAATAATAATAATAATAATAATAATAATACTAATAATAATAATAAGCTGCTTTCAGGCTAGTATTTCAGTAGTGCTTGTTATAAACCGCATTTACAACCATAAAACAAACATTAGCCTGCGAGATAGTCATGAGACCTTTCGGTCTGTTTTCAGACTTCTCTGATGACCATAGTTTGGATTTAGCTTGTTCTGAACACATCACGAAGTAAAGGAAATACGGAGTAGGATGTTTTTTTTCTCGGTTTGGTATCATAATTAAACATATTTTCCTGATTCGGACTCCTAAAAAAACTGTTAAACGTTTTCTCAGAGTCGAGAAAAACTTAATTTTTCTGTTTTTAAGACTAGATGATACGAAATATACGAATGACACTCGATGAGAGACTGAACTCTCAATTCAATTCTATTAAATCATCAATGCTATTTATGCTATTATTACCACTCATTTATGCACTCAACCTTCACCTTCTTCAGTCGTCTTCTCTAAAAAAATATCAAGTAGTTTAGCCATTTTTTATTTTTCAGTTTTTTCTGGACTTCCTTGTTTTTTTCTTCTAAAACAATGTGGTTCTGTGCTATATGCAGAGCTAATAGCTATATTTGTTCGTTATACTTTTTAACCACGTATCAACAAAGCACAGGACGACAGGACCAATGTACGAGCTGTTTGTTCTAATGTCGAACCGGACCACTATTTTAACCCTGATTGCGACCTGTGTAGGTGCTTGTTATTTTTAGTGGCTCAAAAACGTAGCTCAACTATGAAAACAAGCCGGGTTCAATGCGAGCCTCGATCGACAGACCTCTTGAGTGAGGAGCAGAAACAATCGTGAACTAATTTGGTTTTTGGTTTGTAGGCTGTGTTGACCTGTTGAAGAAGCTGTTGAACCCTGACCCCAACCAACGCATCTCGATGGAGAAAGTTATGCAGAATGAGTGGATCAACGAGGGGTACAAACAAAAACTGTGCCCCGCCCCTTTCCCAAACAAAGTATGCTCTCAACCACGTGTTTTCGTGATTCGTATAACTTTTCAGCCGACGCGCTATTTTAGAACATATTTTACAAAGTCTCGAAAGCTAAAGGGTAAATCATGATGACTGCTTCATCATGGAGTTTTACTACGTTTTTTTTTACAAAATCTGCTGCTGAATGGTAAATAGTAGTTAAATGGGAAGTTTATGCAGTTGCTTGATTTCCTTACATTTTGATCATACATTTTGATTAATAAGGGAAATTTGCTTATTGGCCCAATACCATTAGATCCTCACTTTTTTGAGAGACCTTAAGTAAACAATATTTGGGTTTTAGATCAAAGCTGAGTCGCTGAACAAGGCCATTTTGGAGTACATGGACGACAAGCTTCAGATGGGAACCTCTCAGACAGTGAAAGTACTGTTGCAGAACCAGAGTTGCAGCATGTTTGCAGTGTACCATTTACTAGTGAAGAGGCTGCACCAGTACATGAACAGGACGGGACATGTGCCTAACTCCAATCTCATGATGCAGACGCCAGTATCAGCAGGTGTGCCAGGAGGGGCCAAAGGAATCACAGGTTGGTACTAACCGACCAAATAAACTAAGCAAATTAAACACACAACAAAGTGTGCTCGAAACAAACTTTACATCAGTGAAGTGATGACAAAAGTATTCGGTTATAGAACTTGATCATTAAACAACTCTCCTACCCCTACCCTATGAATATAGTAGCGAACAGGGGCGGATCTGGGATTTTCTCGAGGGGCGGATTTTCAAAAAAATTTAGAAAATTTGTCGCTCTTTTTTTTAGATCGACCATTTTGATTTTCCGAGCTCACTCAAAGCACTAAAAAGACCCTGTTTTGGCCAAATTTTTGGCCCGCAGGCAAAACTTTGAAAAAAAAACAGGCCAAAAAAGGCGTTTTTAAGCACTTTTTGGAAAATTTTGAACAAAAAAATCGCGTTATTTCGGAGCGCGCTCCCTCTCAAAATTAGTATATATTGGCACCAAAGGCGCTTTAGAAATTTTTAGGGTTCGTCATCAAACGTGGATATCTTAAAATAGTACAAAGGGTGACCCTTTTGGTCGGCAGGGTATCGAATTCCAGGGGGGGGGTCCGCTCCACCCCCCTTAATCCGCCCCTGGTTACGAATATCCACAACTACGATTAATTTGCCTCAATATACCATTTTGTTGCTTGTTGCAGGTACAGGAGCAGGTAATAATAACGCACAAATCAGAAGGATTGAACCACCCAACGCTGAGATGCGTTTCGCCAGCAACGCTACAGGAACGGATCCGACCAATGCTCAGAACAATACTGACAAAACCGAAAACAACAATCTTCTCAAACAGGTAAGCTGATATATGCACTAGAACTAATTGGATTGCGCAAGTAGAGTTCGATCTTGGTTACAGGTTTTGTACTGATCGCCTACTGTCTAATGGCCCGTTTGAAAAAAAAAAATATATATATATATATATATATTTTCAAACTGGCCATTAGACAATAGGCGATCAGTACAAAACCTGTAACCAAGATCGAGCTCTACTTGCGCAATCCAATTATTTCTATAGCATTAGGGCAAAAAAAAAAGATTCAAATAATTTTAGACATAGGCGAAGCAGTTTCGCAACACTCGCGATACAAAAAAAATGTTTCATTGGAAGATAGCGAAAAACAGAGACACAGGTCGAAAACTTTCGTACTTTTCGGATCGGTTGATGTTCATAAACAGCCTCAAACGTCGGGAATTACTTACCGAGCGGCAAACAAAGCGGCAAAACTTTTGTTGACACCCGTTAAGCTGAAAACAAAACTTTTGCAACGAAAAATTTTGAGCTATTAATTTTGAAAAGTTTTTACGACACATCCCTCCTGAAACACTCAAAAGCATACGAAACTATTCAGCTCTCTTCTAAACTACGCAATATAAATTGACTAAGCCGATATAACATATGCGAAAAGCATTTAATAGAAAAAAAATGAAAAAATAAATAAATTAATTCCAAGTTTCGTAGCGGAATCAATACTTTACATTATGATACAGTTTTCTCAAATCGAGTGTTAATTTTATCAACAAAAAAGTGTCAGCAATAAATTCGTCTCGAAATTCAAGAGCACATTTTTACTTCAAAGTTCGAAAGTTTTTATTAAACGTTTTTATTCAAAATAAGTCAACTTTTTTCTTTTCTTTTGCGTTCATTGACTCTTTTCCAACTGTATGTGGTTTGGGGTCCCGGTAAAAACCAATCGTGACAGAGGGTTCCAATATTATGCTAACTTTGAGCAAATATAGCAATTGAGTAAATGAACGGACGCTGCTCGATCGTGTGAAGACTTTGTGAATTTAATTAACCTGCCTCATTTGCGCTGAATTATTTGTTGCTTTAATTGAAATCTGCGAGGCTTTAAATTGGGCAATTTTGAAGCATTCTATGCACATTGGACCCAGTTAGTTTCATGGGACCCCTCCAATACACTTACATACCGGTACAATTTTTACGTTTTTTTTTTACAATATTTACGTGATTTAATGTGCATCACATGATCTATCTTAGATGAGATTTAGTCTCAAAAACCTAAACTGATTGCAACACTTAATATATCTTGGGAAAAAGAACGCATTGAGTAAAAAGTATATTCTGTCAAATGTGCTAAGTTAGAACTAAATTTGATCTTCTTAGTCAATTGACACGAACAGCCAGGGACCTGTTAAGGAGAGACAGACTGAACAGAAGATTGTGCAGTTCAACAAGGTTGCTCTGGGACTGGGCATGCGCGCACACACTTCTCCAGAGGTAGCAAACATCATTTAACTCAACCCCACCATTATACGCCGATCAAAATATTAATCTTGGGTGCATTAGAATTCAAAATTTCCCCCTTTGATACAATTTACAGCACGCGTTTAAGTTTTATTACAACCTCAGTATTCCCAATTGATTAAACCCAGATTCTAATTTCTTTAATGAAAATTTATGCTAAGACTGTGAAAAAAGAGCTTGTAGGTTTCAACCAAGAAGGCTGCAAGGCTTAGAGTACGTTCACTTCAGTTTTCATTAAAAATTGACACATTTCAGAAATCTCCTCCTGCGAGTCCAGTCAAGTACCCGGGCATGCACACAGACAGACGGGCGATGGAGAGGCAGAACAAACAGGGTGGGGGAGTAGGGCCTCCAGGGAGCATCTACTTGCACAGTCCCCAGTCGGCACAGCAGGACCATGACTCCATTTTGAGACAGAGACAGTTGAACTCTGCTGATGTCACTGGAGACCAGCAGCAGAGAGGGGGGACATCTCAGAGGAACAGATGCAAGACCTCCACGTACAACAAGTTAGACTCTGACTCTACTCTAATAGCATGTTTAGATCTTGATACTAGTCCCTATGCCAAAAGGATCAATTTGCCAAGATTGAATGTTATATTAGACTTAACCATTGGATTAATTCACACAGAGGCGAAGCTGAGCTTCGCGTCACTTGCGAATTAAAAATAAACGACTATCATTGAAATCAAATGAAAAATAATTTTCAAAAAACTTCAAAAAATCGTTTTTGTCAAAAAAAAACATCGGAAAAAAGCCAAAAATATCCAGAACAAAATCACCTGCGCCATTAAAGCGATTTGTTGCGAATACTAGAAAAAGTCGAACTTTCATAAAGAATTGAACCGGCAGGAATCGAACTCCTGGTCACTGTCGTCTTAAGCATGAGTGTTACAGCAACTTAGAAGAAAGCTGACAGCTCAAAATAATCGGGCTACCGGAATCAAGCCGTCAAAAAAGGCAGACGGACGATAGCCCCAAAAAGCACAAAAAATTAGGTTTACAAAAAAAACAGGTCCCGTTCGGATTCGAACCATGAGCCTTTGCCGTCTCAAGCAAGTGTGTTATCTCTTCGAATCATGCACCGGATGGTTGACTGAATTTTAAATGATAATCAGAAACCATGATCCGAAACCATAATCGAAAGAAAACAGAAAATAAGCGGAAAAAATCAACAAATCGCTTAAAAGTTTTTCGTTTTCAAACCTAAGTTTTAGCTTTTACAAAAAGCGTGTTAAGAAACGTGTAAGAAAAAATCTTGCATCGTGTTACTTCCTTCGAATTCAATTTGAAAATCAATTAAATAGAATTTTCAAAAAAAAACAACATAAATTTTCAAAAATCAATTAACCCTACAAAAAAATTACATCTGATTTTTTTTTACCAGTAGATCCAGTGACACATTACTCTGGGCACAAAAACTCGAGGTGTTAAACGTGCAATGTGCTGAAAAAGGATATCTTGAAATTGAAGATCATCCTGTGAACAAAGTTGTTTACTGGAAAAGTCTAGTACCCGATTGCAATAAATATATTGGTAGATATTCGGTAGTAGGTACATATGGGGATTGTTAACGAGAAATTTAACTTTTCCCTCAGTTATTAACATGTTATTAAGCCGGGAATTGAAACAGCATTTAGGTATCTTTACTTACTTGAAATATGTATGCTTAGAAGCGTCCAGCCTCGGGTTTTGAAATGTTGGACTGGTCTCAGGAGTGACAAACTCTATATTAAGCTCTCATCGCTGAGCAAGATTCTCTCTAATTTCGACGAAACTTTAAAATTTTTATTTCTCGCAAAACAGGCTTATGCCTTTTTGGTATTCTGCCGAGCCGAACTAAATTGTAAATTGACAATTTCATACCATAGGCTTATAAGTTTCTGGCTTGAAAATAAAATAGTTTAACAAATTCTATCTCAGGCCTGCCGGGACAGCAGTGTTGCTGGAGCGAAACAGACCAGTGACGGGGAGAGGGAGATTGATGGACAACAAGACAGCAGGGCAAATTAATAACATCGGAGTGGGAGGAGGAACGGTTGCAGTTAGACGGCCAGTCAGTCTAAACAGGGCTTCTCTGGGTACAGGTATGTCTGTTTTCATGGTCATAGCGGTTAATTAGGGTCATTGTTCCTACCACTGAGAGTCGCGAAGAATTCGGGTTTTTTTAATTTTGTTTGTTGTTTCCCACGCAAAGTCAGATACTACAAATAACCGCCGGAAATAGTCGAGTGATATATTTTATCTCGAAAAACCAAAATGATTTGAGCAGTAATATTTAGAGGCCAGCTTTGCAGCTCTTGAGGGTCTCCGGGAACCACGGAGTGCAGCCAGTATTTAGACAACCGCGTATTCATACTCGTCAGTATTTATAAAAATACTGTATGAACCAATCAAAATCGAGAAAAGACATAAATAATCCAAAATAAATCATAATTATTTATTAATTTCTTCTTTGTCTCGATTCTGATTGGTTGAAACAGTATTTGTCTAAATACTGACCAGTCTGAATACGCGGTTGTCTAAATACTGCTATGTAACCGGGAACCACCCCACCATAGGGTAGAGAAACTCACGTTTTGTTTAATTGAAAAAACACCATATCTCGGAAACCAAAAGGATTTGAGCAGTAATTTTCGAAGACCAGATTCGCAGCCCGTGAGTGTACCCTGAAACCACCCCACCATAAAGTAGATTAATTCAAATGTTGTTTAACTTTTGATTCTAAGGTTTTTGAAAAAAAAAGAAAAAACATAAAAAACGCCGTATCTCAGAAACCAAAAGGATTAGAGCATTAACATGTGAAGGCCAGATTTGCAACTTCGAGTGTAGCCTGACATCACCCCACCTTAAGTTTTATTATTTTTTATTTTTTTTACAAATAAACACATGCAAATCGTTAAACATGCAGAACTAATAGGTTGAAAAAGCGTAAACATGTCAACATAAGGACTTCCTAAACAGATGTGCATAAAATGCCAATTAAATAATCGATATATTTCGAGGGAACGAAGCGAGCGAGCAGGCTTATAAATGGAAATTAAATTTGAAATTTTAGATTGACTCCAAAATTAACTTGCTGAAGCTTCTTTTAGCGTCTTTTTGAAAACAAAAAGTACATGAAAAACAAGAACTGTCGTTTGTTGTGCAAGTAGAACAGAATGCTCCAACGAATTGTTAAAAAATACATTAAAAATTTTTCCTTTTTTACTGTCGTTAGTGTAGTTTTTTGTGTGTGCTGTGATGCAAAGATCAGACGAAATCTTAGTTGGACAAACTCAAGGTAACATAGGCAAATTAGTTAACTATTTCGGTTAAAAAATGTTCAGAAAAACAAAACAAAAAAAGTAGTGAAAAAATCAACAAAAATAAAAAAAAATGAAATTCTTGAAATTTTTCTCTTGACAAGACGGCGCTAAAAACTTTTGAAAAACTGTACTCGAGTGAAACAAAAGTTTCCCGGCTTATACTACAATAATCAGCCTGCTCGCTCGCTTTACTCGCTCAAAATTGAACTGAACTTACAAAATGTTAACCAGTTTTTTCTCAACACTGTTTTTTTCTCAAAACTTTTTTTAACTTTTCAATATGAAATATAACTTCACTCAATGCGAAAATTACTTTTAAGGCACCTTCACAGCTTTTTGATAGCATGTGCTTTGACAGTCGAATAGTAATAAGTTAACACAGTTATTGCGTTTTTAATTCATCAAATGAACCGTAAAAAGCAATTTGTTTTCAGAAATTTTCTAAAAAAACTCGATTTCAGAAATTTTCTAATATATCTCGCAGATTTTTGAAATGAATAATTTATATATAATGTGGCTTTATGCTTTGCGATTTGTTACAAGCAAAGTTAGTGTGGATGCCTTCAGTTTGTTATACTCCAAATTATTACTTGCAAAATTGTATCTATTTGTATTTGGTGCCACTTTTGTTGAATCGCATTGGCAATTTATTAGCATATGTAGCTGCTTTGTTAGTTACTAGTGTTTGTCGGTGGTTAAGCTTGCGTGGCTGAGTGGTTAGTGCGTGAGACTCAAAAACTCTTGATTGCAGTAGGTCGCAGATCGAATCTAGACCTAGCCGAATTCGAGGCTTATTTCACTTTTTCTTATTGCACTTTCTAGAGCTGTTTTTTTGCTGTTTTCTCACTAGTGTTCGCGAAGCGAAGCTTTGCCTTGGTGTTAATTTTGTTAGCTGATTTAGTTGATAAGCAAAAACAAAATAATCCTGCTCGCTCACTTTATTCCCACGAAATACACCAAAATCAAAAAATTCTAACGGCCTTTTCTCGACACTCGTGGTACCTTATTTTTCTTGGAAAACAAAAAAAAAACTGAAATTCAAAGAAAACCAAGTTCCTCCTTATTTCTTATGATCGGAACAAACAAAAAAAATTGCATAAATTCAAAAAAAAAATTTTTTTTTGATATGCATATTCTATTCTTACAATCAAAGGTACTTATTTTTTTTGGCTCACATCCGCAGATTGCCGAACGAACCAAAAGCATCACAAGTTGCAAAAAAACATGTTGTGAACAGCAACCGGTTCTTCTAGTTTAAATTTTAAAAAGTTCATTTGCTGGTGTACCAGTTGATAACTAGATATCAGCATTTAACAGTTTGAACTGTGTGATGTGACACTCGCTACTCGAGTGAAGATGAAAACAATGGTTGTTGCAAGTAGCACTCAGCAATACAGCAGCAGCTGTAATAAAAAGTGTTTTAGCTACGAATGATACATTCAAATAGTGTTGCTTATCATTGATGGGGAACTCACTTGTATTTTAGTTGAAAACACCCATACCTTATTTAGTTATTAATTACAGGCGCTAGCACTCTCAATCGCAGCAGCAACGGGTTCACTGGTGACGTCAGAGGCCGAGGTGCGGCCATAAACAACAATAACAACAACAATATCAATAATAACGACAACAGCAATAACAATGGAGCGGGAGCTCCTGCTTTCGACCAGACGTTTAAACCAGTTGGCATATTGAAACGAGTGACTCAACCGAGACTGTTTCGAGCTCAGACTAAAGAATTCGCGTTGAACACGAATGGAAGCAACGCCAATTCGAACACTGAGAAAACAACCAAATTACAAGTAGGTCTAGTTTTTTAGGAGCTCCAGGCTTGAGTGATTAACTATATAAAATTTGAGCGCTTCGTGATTGATCGGAATGTTTGTATCAACCGTTACCTTTTGAGATTCATCGGAATAATATTGATATAAGCGCTGTAGCTCATAAAAGCAAACATAGCCAAAAGACAGTTGGAAAAGAATCAATGAACGCAAGTAAACAAAAAAACTGATTTGTTTTTTGAAAAAACCTCAAATTTCCGAGACAATTTAGGATTGACACTTTTTTGATAAATTAACCACAATGTGAGAAAACTGGATCCTTAGGTAAAACTTTTTTATTTCGCTGGGAAATCCAATTTTTACATTCTATTTTCGAAGTTAGAAGTTGATCACGTTTTTGGTGACTTTTACACGTTCGCTGTTCGATAGTGGAGGTCGCCTTCATTTTAACAAAAGAATTGAACTGAGCTGAAAAAAAATCAAAACACAAAAAAAATTGGGCCTGGACAAACTTATAGACTTTTCCTGTAAAAAATCATCACGACCAGGGGGCGGATCTAGGATTTTCTCGAGGGGATGGGGGGAGGCGGATTTTCAAAAAAATGTCGAACATTTTGTCGACCAATTTGATTTTCTGAGCACTACCAAATCACTAATTAGACAGTATTGCGAATTGTTGAAAAAAAGAAAAGCCTAAAAAGGCGTTTTTAGGCACTTTTTGGAAAATTTTGATTAAAAACCGCGTTTTTTCGGCGCGCGCTCCCCCCTCAAAATTAGTATATTTTGGGGACAAAAGCGCCTTTGTAAAATTTTAGGGTCAGTCAGCCAAAAATAGATATCTCAAAATAGTACAAAGGTGGGACCCTTTGGATCCCCCCCCCCCTAAACCCGCTGGTGATCACGACCTATATAAGAGTCTGATGAACTACGTTCATAGTCTTAATCAAAAATAAATATTGAATTTGAAAGTAGTCTACAAATGGTTCCCAATATATTTGATAGAGTGTGGTGGTTAACCGTTCCTTGGACACCTCTGATTCCGCAACATCAGGCGGGACACTCAAACGGAACCACATAGGTGGCAAAAATGGAGGGCCCGCTCCCCAGTTCAGCCGGGCAAACACTGCTGGTCCAGGCAGCAACATGTACACCAAGTGGAACTCAAGCCCAACCAGCGCACAAAATGGAAACCAAAGCGGAAAATCAGCGAGTGGAAACTCCAACTCAAACTCTGCGACATCCAATGATAACTCTTCCACTTTGCCTTCGATTACAAACAACGGAAAAACTGCAGCCAACACTCCCGTGCGTCCCATCCAAATCAGCGTTTCAAATGACAGGCCAAAAACCAGCAGCGTGTAAAGATTGCATAGACCACAACCGACTAAATTGGAAATAAAATCTATACCAATTAAATTAATGATCAATTGAAGTATTTTAATTTATCCAACTTATCGACCAGAAAGTTCGATTTGAGGAAAAAATTTTATTTGACATTTATTCGATTCATCAAAAAAAGTTCGGTTTAGGAGATTGGAGGCTCGAAGTCAATTTCTTTCATCGCGTCCTACTCAGTTTTCAAGGCTTTTCCTTGATTAAGTACACCAATATTTAGAAAAAATATTGGTTCTGACATTCCTACAATGCGCCCAATTTATTTAATCTCCTTATTAGCATATTAGTACACAGAAGCGAATACATTGGTACACCACTTGCGATACAAAACAAAAAAAAAGAAAAAAATCAAAAAAACTTGATCTATCAAAAAGAAAAAGGCTAGTTTTAAGACAAACACATGCCAAGATAATAGAATGTGCAATAAGCATCCGATGATAATATACCCAGCGGTAACAAAGCCGGAAATATCTTGTCAGAAACCTTTTAAGCCGAAAAAAATCAACATAACTCAAGAATTACGAAAAGTTAATAAATCCCCCTCGCCCTCAAAACACAAAAAATTTCATTTGGTTGTCAAATTAAATGATATGCGACCACTAAGCCGACATAAAATAAGCCGAAACCTATTAATCCTCAAATAAAGGAAAACAAAAATGATGCTAATTGTCATGAAAAACTTCAACTATAAACTCTATTACGATTTTTAGCATTTAGTGCGATCCAAAGATAAGCATAAAAACATTTTTTGTTGAAACGACAGGAAATACGGTCACCCAGCCGATAAAAAGGCCAAAATCATTTGAGCAGAATAATGTTTTTCAGCGAAAAAAACAAAAACAAAAAAAAAGAAAATATACAAGTCAAGGCTAGTAAAAAACTACTAACATCGAAGTAAATCAGATCATTAAAAGCAGCTATATTGTTTTAAAAAATTAGAAAAAAATCTATATGGCATTTAAGCCGACAAAATATGTGCAGATATAATAGACCGACAATTTTTTTTAACGGACGATTTCCCGTTTGATTAAAAAACAGGTTCTGTCAGAGTCAAAACCAGGACATTTTCCCTCCCAGGTGCATTCGTTACCTTCAAACCTAGTGTTGGAATTCACTAAGAATTGAACCTAAATTTACCATTTCTAATTTTGACCATTCTGTGAACAAAGTTGTCGATGGGAAAAAAGTCTAGCACCCGATTGCAATACCCTTGCTTATCGCAATGATAATAAACATTCAAGCATATTCCCATCGTCTTGCCGTTATTTTTTGAACTATTCATGTTTCACACTAAGATGCTATGTTAGTTGCAAAATCAGTGAACCATGGTAGTATGGACAAGTAGACAAGGGTGGATAAAAGATTCTCTAAAGGATTCTGCTTTTCCGAGCTTTCACACTATTTTGGTCATTTTTTTTGCGCACAGGCAACTTTAAACAAATAACTAGCTTATACAGCACATCCGGTGCTTCGAATTTTCAACAACTCAAAAAAACTATTCTTTGAGTGTACTCTGACAGCACCCAATTACAGGGTTCGTAAGTAAAAATTTAAAATGAACTAATAAACGTCACATCTGGAGAAACTGAAAGCAATTGAGCAGTCGCATTTGGACGCAAGATTTGCAACTCTTGAGAGTACTCTAACAGTTCCCAACTACAACGTTGGGAAATTCAAATTTTGAGAAACTTACCTTAAGTTTTGTAAAAGAGAATAACCAGAAAAAATTCACATCTCGAAACTACCAAAATTTGAACAATCTTTTTTGATGGTAATATTTGCAAACTTTGAAAGTACACAACTACAGGGTTGGGAATTTCACTTTAACAAATAATTTGGTAATTTGAGTTTTCTGAAAATTTCCAAAAAATCACGAAAATCGTCGTTTCTCTTAAAAAAATGATTTGGGCATTTTTAATTGGAGGCCAAATTTGCAACCTCTGAGATTATTTTGACAGCCCCCCCCCCCAACTACAGGTTAGGAATTTCAAACTTTCCAAAAAAAATTAAATTAATTTTCATGAAAAGTTTTTTTTTTGAAAAAAAATCACAAAAAACGTCATATCTGGAAAACTGCAAGATTTTGAGCAGTCCTATTTGAAGACAAAATTCGCAGTCCTATTGGGATGCAAAATTCGCAACTCTCGAGAGTACCCCGACAGAGGTTCACTACAGAGATGAGAATTTCAAGTTTTGTGAAATTTTTTATATCTTATTTCTGAAAAAATTCAAAAAAAAAAACGTCGTATCTCGAAAACTACAAGAATTTGAGCAGCCATAATCAAAGGCAAGATTCGCAACCCCTGAGAGTACCCTCACAAAATCCAACAACAGGATTGAGATCTTGAACTTTTTGGAATTTTTTCTAAGTTTTTGAAAATTTTTTGAAAAAAAATCATGAAAAACGTCATATCTCGAAAACTACAAGGATTTGAGAAGTGAGAATTTGAGGCAAGATTTGCAACCCCTCAGAGTACCCTGGCAATTGCAAAACATGCTAAAATAATACGTTGAAAAAGCTTAAACATGGCGAGATAGTGAAGCCCGCATTTCAATTTAAAATAGATAGATAATAGATGAAAGTTAAAAAATTAGGCGACGGGTAGACAGACATAATCAAATTAATTAAAAAAGCAGCTATCCAGACAGACAGACAGACTTAATTTGGCCTCAAAAAAATACTGACAAATTAATGAATTTGCGAAAAACTAATTGAAAAATTTTCTTAAGCATTGCAATATATGCTATAGCTTAAACATGAAAAAATTCTTTCGTTAAACATGCGAAATTATTATGCTTAAACATGGGAGATAGCTGTCACTCGTATTTAAATATAGTATAGATAGATAGATAGCTGTAGATAGATAGATATAGATAGGCCCAAAAAAACGTTTTTCGGCACTTTTGCAAAGGATTTGACGCGCGCTACCTCCTCAAAATTTTTATATATTGGCGCCAAAGTGGACTTGGGAAACATTTTAGGGTGAGTCAGCTGGTCTTAAGATGGTACCAAAAGGGGACTCTTCGGGTTATCATTGGGTCGGACCCATGAAGGAAGCGTCCACCCCACATATGACAATTGAACCGGTGAAATTCAATGAAATAAAAATTTGGATAATCATTTAGGAAAGTAAATTCAGTCTCCCTGAAGGAAGCTAAAACTACCAATTAAAGCTACCACTGAAAACACTTCTTCCTTACAGACCATCACATCAACACAACCAGGTATCTTTCAGATGACATAAAGAATTGTTTAAAACGGATGGTCAAAAGGTCGAAATTTTTATTTTCATGGTTGAGTACGTTTCGAATAACATGAAAAGAAAATCAACAGTGGAACGTTAAAATTAGAATTAAGTCTTGACCGACCTTTGATTTATTTTTGTTTCATTTTTAACTACCCAAAAAATTCAAACATGGAAATCTATTACTGCATGAAAAATTTAAAATCTGATTAAAAAATCTTTTCACCTAAGAGTGCGCAATCTGAATTGATTTGCTACATTTGATGTTAACCCGAATTAAAACTATTCTCGTCTACTGAAACGATCTTGCTGAAAAAAATAAAAATGCTATTAAAGTCTGGGATTCTTTATATTGTAAAAAAAACTCGGACGCAACAAAAAACGCTCTCAAACTAATATGTTTTGAAGGTTTATTTTTGTTAAAACCATTTGACAAAGGTGGAGAAACTTTTTAATCGGGTGATATGGTTTTTTATTTTTGTTTTCCACGCAAAATCAGGAACCACAAATAATCATTGGATTCAGTCGAGTTTTATAGCAAAATGAAGCCCTTTCTGTCGCGATTCGAACATAAAAAAGTTTTTCAAAACGTTTTCTGTATCGAGTTTTTCTGTTAAATTTTTTTTTTGAAATTTAGCTCAATTGCGAGCGAGTAAAGCAAGCGAGCAGACTTTTTATAGAAGAATAGCCCATAAAATTTTAGTTTCACTCTCAAGTAAGTTAACTTAAAAAAATTTTTCAGCGCAGGATTGAGAATAAAAATTTAAACAATTCAAATATATGCCAGCAAAAAAAAGCTTTGGATTTTTAAAGAATTTTAAAAAAATTTGTCAGTTGCCAGTTTTAGGCTTTTCTCAGATCCTTTCATCACACCACGCACAAAAAATTGACACTAATTTGAAAAAAAAGCATCTGGTATTTTTTTAAGAATATGGTCGGAACATTTTGTGCTACTTGCACAGCAACCAGCTATCCTTGTTTCAAATTAACAGTATGTGATGCAACTTTTATTTGTTCTTTGATCAACATGGAGCAAATGCTTTATGAGGAATTGCGATACTCTATTGCTCTAAATTTTCGAATTTCAAATGGCATTTGATTCGATTTCTGTTCCGACCACTTGAAAATTGTGGAGGAACTTTGTATTCGGGTATTTTAGTTTTTTCCTTTTTTTTTTATTTCCGCGCACAATTAGGTACCACAAATAATCATCGGAATGCGTCGACTGATATATAAGCCCTTTCAGTCGTGATTCGAACTACATTAAAAAATTTTCATGTTTTTTTTTTCAGTGTCGAGAAAAACTGGTTAGAAAAACCGGTTGCATGGTTATTTAAGCTTAACTTAGGCCGTTTAAAACAGCTCATTTATGCTTAATTTTAATTTAACTCGAGTATTACCAGTTTTTAGAGTTTTATCAACGTCAATTTACGAAACAAAAACTTCAAAACCCAAAAAATTGCTTGGATTTTTTTAAGTCATTTTTTTTTCGAAAACTGTTGTACCGTTGCCTGTTTTAATAAGCCTGTCGAATAAACCTAAATAAAAAAAGGACACTTATTTGATGAAAAAAATTGTGTTTTCAAGACTATGGTCGGAACATTCTGTGCTACTTTACTTGCACAGCAGCCGGTTATCCTTGTTATATTTTTCTTCGTTTTGTTGAAGCTGTGTATATATTCAGCAGTTTCGGGGATAAGGATGTCGACAGTTTTATCGCAAACAATCAGAATTCAAACAAGAATAGGCGAAGTTTCGAATTGATGTAGTTGAAACAACTGACTACTGAGAACACTGGATCAACAAGCAACGTTTTTGTGCTGAGAAAATCAAGTTCACTTTCTCAACTAAAATTCAATCACATTTTGAAGCCAATTGCTCGTTTGCTATCTGAGAGCCCAATTTTCCCTTCATTTGGTAAAAAAAATTGAAGTGAACTTGAAAAGAAATCAAAAGTCAAGCGTGAACACAAGCGTTTTCGAGAAAAAAAATAACCTGCATAAATTTCTTCACTTAGTTCATTGACACCTAATAATAGCATAAGCGAGCTAGGAGGAACCGAGCAATTGACTTGGAGTGGTAACTAGCGGTGAAGGAATCCCTGTCATCCGCTCTAGCGCTAATATGGTATTTACACCTGAATAGCATAAAATGACACGTGTTTTTCTCGACACTGGAATTCTTATGGGAATCCGAATCATGACTGAAAGAACTTTTAAAGAATTCCACACTTGTCTACCAAGGAGCTTTACATGTCTCGAAAAAAGCACGATTCTACGTCAAGATACTTTCTATTCTTCGAGAGTAGTCGCAACAACCAAGAAGTTACAGAAGACTAATTTACAGCGTTCAGTAGCACTTGCTCAATGTGTATTAGAGAAGCATGCATGTCTCTAAATGTTTTAGCCTTGTGTTGCCATAGTTTGAGCCAACGCCACCGCTTTTTCACATAAAAGCAAAACAAAGATAATTTGAAACAAAAGTTTTAGTGCAAATTTTATTCTTACAAAAACAGACATTTGAAAGAGCATGCAGGTTTATAACAGATACAAAAATTTACGCTTTCGTTACCTATTTTTGCATAACATTTTTGTTTTAGTTGCCGTTTTTAACAATTAATAGTAATTGTTAAAAACAGCAACTAAAACAAAAATCTAGCAACTTTTAGTCTTAGCAACCAAGGGTTCAATTAGATTCAAAGCAAAGCGATCCATGAAAACTGCTTTGAACAGATAATTGAGGGGCGTTCCCTATACCCAACCAACGCCCCACGGACAAGCATTTTATTTACCTGTTTGATACAGCCGATCAGCAACTTTCAAACCACCGACTACAGCCTACGTAATGAAGGGCTTCACGTATAAAAACAAAACGCTAAGATTAAATTAAGTCAATATTGGTCCAAATGGAATACAGACAAAATAAACCGAACAACCGCTTGCAAGCTAAGATCTTGATAAAAAGTTACTTTACTCAGTCAGCTGTGATATTAACACTTAGGTTGAGTGTCAATAGTAAAGCTGAATGATTCTTGCAGATCAGATAAGATTCAGTAGAACTTTCTTGCGGGCAATTGCATGGGATAGAAACTAAAAATGAAAGTTACTAAAAATTGGTTAAAATCGTCGAAATCTATGTCGTTTTTGATCCGCCACTGCCGGCGTTCACTTTGGTAGATACAAAGCGACCCGTTTTGCTTCCTTCTTCATCGGGACCGTTTGGCACCTCTTTGACTTCTGCACTGACTATAAGTCCATGACGAGAACTTGCCGAGGCTGATGAACTAGACGCCGACTGCACATCACCACTATCCGATGTTTGTTTCCACGACACTTTTTCCCGATCGAGTTCCACTGTGTCGGCTCCGTTTTGATGTCCATTTTTGTCATCATTATTATCTGAGTTTCGTTCGTCGTCGCTGCAGACACTTGTAGCACAACTGCTGTCAGAAAGATCAGTGTCGTTCTCTTTTCTTGTAACTTGAGTACCTATATACGCAGATGAATGCTGAACAGCTAGTCTGACGTCATTTAGCGTGATGATTCCGACCAACTTTCCCATACGTGTGACATACACTTTGTTCAGACCGAGCAAAGAAAACAGGGAGTGTATTTTGGGAAGTGAAGTTAAAGTCACAATGCAAAAAGGAGACTCGTCGATTTCATTGAAGTCGAACTTAATTGGTAGCTTCATTCGCAGCTCTTCCCAGTCTAGAACATCATTTTGAGTCATGGTTGTTACCGTGTTTGAACTGTTGCCTCCGTGCATATTTGAGCTGGCCGACTTCGAGTGGTGATCGTATGCAGAAGATGCAAGTCCTGTACGAAAAACCGAGTATATATTTTTCAAAAACATTTAATACCAAATAATAATACCATTTAATACCTGTACGAAAAACCGAGTATATATTTTTCAAAAACATTTAAAACCAAAGATCAAAAATCTATTTTTTTTTGCACCATATTCAGCAATCTAAAAAAGATGATTAAATGCCTACGATATTGGGATACATCAAAACTACTTTTAACGTCTTCTAAGAGTCTACCATGCGGCTGACTAATATTTACCTGTGATTGAGGTTCTCTTGCTATGTTGGTACGCAGCAGCAAGAGCTGCGTGGTCTTGTACCAAAGAAGAGGCCGTGGAAACATCAGCTATAGAACCAGAGAACAAGTTACCCAGGGGTTTCACTTTGGTCTTCTTCATTGCGGCCGGATTCGTGGTCAGGAAACTCTGGAAGTCTGTGTTGAAAACGGCTTTCGATTGGCGTCTCTCGCTCAAGTACTGGCTGTCGGGTGCTGATGCATCATTTATTGTATTCGAGATCGATACATTGCCAGGTGCTTTTCCTGCATTTCTCTCAGATTTGTAACGTCTGTTCTCATTGTCGTTTGAACCTGCATTCGGATTGCGTCTGAACTTCGGCTGAGTTCTTAAATTCAGCGCATTAAAGTCGCTTCCATTGCGTATGAACTTCAGCAACGCTGCCCGACTGATGTGCTGTTGTATCTTGGCTTGTAAGATGCCCACTCGGACTGTGCCTAACAGAACCATACTCTCGTGACTTTCCACTAAAGGAACCACTTCGTTTTTGCTCAAGCTACGAATTATACTGTAGACTTCCTTATATGGCTGTCTCCAGCATATATAACTCAGCTTCGTTTGCATGATATGTTCAGCTGTGATGTCGTAGAAGTCCCTGGAAGCAGACACGATGTCAGGGAGGAACGGCAACTGTTTCATCTGAATGATACTATCGTACATTGATGGTTGTAGACACTGGGCGACCATGTTGGCCAAGATGACTGCAATTAGCACCGGTAGAGAGTGTGCGATTTGACCAGTCAGCTCAAACACGATGACTGATGTTGATATGGTTCTAGTCACTGCGCCACTCATTGCCGCCGACCCGACTAAGGCATAGCATCCCGGTTGGATCTCGACACCCCCAATTCCGTCTGGAAACCAGTAGTGGAAGAACTCTCCCACCATCCGGCCGAAGCCAGCTCCAACAAGGAAAGAAGGCACAAAGATACCGTTAGGGATTGGCATGGTCACGGCGAGAGCTGATAGGACGAATTTGGAAACTACGAACACTGTAAGACAGACGAAGATTCCACCTGGTTCAGTGTTCCAGTGACTCAACGTCTAAACAAATTAATGACTTCGCAATTTAAATACACAGAGGTGAAGCTGAGCTTCGCAACACTTGCGGTACAAAATAAGGAAGCCGCTGAATCGAAAAAACTAGATCTTTCAAAACAAAAAGGCTAGTTTTGAAACAAAAACATGCCAAGAAAAGGAATGTGAAATAGGCGGGAAGAAATTTAACAAGCGGTAAAAAAGCCGAAAATACCTCAGCAGATTATGCCGAAAAAATCGACAAAACTCAAAACTTTTAAAAAGTTGATGTCCCCCTAGCCTTCACAAACACAAAATTTATTTGCTCGTCAAATGAAAAAATATGAGGCCACTAAGCCTATATAATATAGGCGGAAACCTATCAAGCGGGAAAACAGGAATAAAAAAAGCCGGAAAAAAATTGTGACCATGAAAAACTAAAGTGTCTTTTAAAATTTTTAGGATTTTTTGCTACAAAGAGGGGAGCATAAAAATAATGTTTAACTTGAAACTACTCAAAAATAGGTCACTAAGCCGATAAAATATAAGCCAAAATCATTTGGGCAGAATTAAGCTTTTAAGAGAAAAAATATACGAAGTCAAACAGGGTTAGTAAAGTTACAAACAGCAATAAAAAACCAAAACACTAAAAGCAACTACAACGCAACCTGCGTACAGCAACAAAAACACTTCCACCATGTGGCAACTAAGCCGACAAAACATAAGCAGACAAATCATAAGCCGATTTTTGAAAGGGAACATTTGCTGTTTAAAAAAAGAGGCACTGCCAAGTTCAAACCCGCGACCTTTGCTGTCCCAATCGTTCTTATTGCCTCCAGACCAAGTGTGCCGGAGTCACAAATTTTTTTTTTAATGAGCTGAACCTAAATTTAAGATTTCTTATTTTGACCATTCTGAGAACAAAGTTATTTACGGGAAAAAAGTCTAGTACCCGATTGCAATACCCTTGCTTCGGGTAATAACTACCACTAAGTCTGCTTTATGAAAATTAACCTTCGAAGATTATACGAAAGCCAAACCCTGCAGATGAAGTATACAAAGAGATATACACACCTTTAAAAGGTTTTAAAAAACGCAGATCGCAAGGAAAACTTCTCCAATTTGGGTAAAATTATGCGATCAAAACGCGCTAAATTACATGCAAAAAAATCATTAATTTGAAAAGAAAAACTTCTAAATATTCTTAAAAAAGTCCTGCTTTAGGAATATCTTTCCCTTTTCCTTACTTCTTCTTGTTCAAGAGTGAGTAGAGTATTGGTCCCGGGCGGAGAAGTCCAGGCGAAGTTAGAGAAGAGACTGTTGATCTGCTCCTTCGAGGTCAAGTCAGCAGCCATGTACTGGCCCAGTCCAGGCGGGAATGTAATAGAGGCTATGATTAACACCACTATAGTAGGATAGATGAATCTGTTTTTGGCCAGCAGCTTATGTATGAAGGGTCTCCGGATGAACAACACAATGTTACGATGGAAAAAGATGTAGAAGGCGCCTCCGAATCCACATATGACTCCTATGAAGCCAAAAATGAAGAGTTCCAGGGGGTCAAATGGGATCTCAACAGGGAAATTGGTGCTAAAGAGAGCCGTGATTGTGTGCTCGTTGTCGGCGAACATGCCTATCAGCTGGAACACTAGTGCCCCTATTACTGCACTAAAGAAACCCCTCCAATAGTTACGCACTGCAAAATATGTGGCCGTGACTTCTATACTGAACAACACACCACCTAAAAAGGAATAACTATAGAACCACAACTGAAACTCTTTTTTGTTTACATTTTTGATAAGAACAGTTTTCTAGTTTTTGATGGTTCCGTACACATATTTACAGGATCTCATTACTTCGAAACCTTCTAAAATTCATATCACATTATTATCTCGGTGCAGCTTGATTTTTATTTTAATTTTAATCGATGAGATAATAGGGTGGATCTATCCAATTTGTGGTAATTTGTATAAAAATTGACGAGATTGAGCACAATTGATGTTACTAACCGATAGGAGCAGCAAAATTGCAGGCAACTCCCACTGCACATGCGGCTGCCAGCATCTCTGTGTTGCGAGTGGGGTTGCGGTAGAAGCCTTGGAAGGAAGTGACGATGGAGCTGAGTTGGGTTGCCACCATGCTGGCCACGTGGACAAACGGACCCTCCTTGCCGGTGGGCATGCCACTGCCCAGAGCTATTGTCAGTCCAATCTAAATTGAATAATTTTAAAACTCGCTTCGTGTTGTGTCAAATACGGTCTAATCACTTAGAAATACATATTCTTTTGGTGCATCTAAAAAGCCTGAGAGTCTTCCGAGTCGACAATTAACAAATAAAACCAACTTTTTTTTCAAGACGATCAAAACAATGACAAAAAATCAAATGAATCGACTATTTTTGGCTATCATATAATATGAGTGAGGGGAACTATACTGACTGTCTTTGATATGAGGGTTTTGAAGCTGAGGTATTCGTGGAGAGTGACTCCCCTGATGATGGTCTTCATCTCCGGAATACCACTGCCTACTGCATTGGGCTCCACCAAGTGCACAAATCCAGTTGCAAATGTGATGAAAATGAGCGGGTACAGCACCCACACGGCATACTGGCCACCCACACTGCCTGAAAATCGAAGAGCTCGAAATTGCTTCTTGATCGTTTAGATTTGCAAACTATTGAATAGCAAAATTTTCTTTTAACTTATGAGTACGGCTAATAGTTTTTGTTTATTATTCCGACCATTTGTGCGAATGTAGTCAGAACGTTCTGTGCTACTTCACTCAGCAGCCGGCTATCCTTGTTTACTTTGGTATTGATTCAAACTTACCTTTCACTTCATAGTACACTATGATGTGTGCTTCCTGGAACTTGAGAATTGCGTAATCCATTACAAAAGAAAGACACGCCATGATGACTCCCAATAACACAAGAAATATCCACTCCTCGCCAAACCCCTCTCCGATTTTGGATCCACACAAGCGCAGACAATTCGTGGTCTTCTCCGAGTGCATACAACTCCACAGTTTGCCTCGTTTAACTCCTGTATCCTCTGAAAGGTAGTTTTTATCAGATGATATCTGAATGGGTACGTTGGAGTTTGCCATGCTCTTTAGTCTGTGATCTCCTTCCCGCATGGACTGGAAGCGACGTGATCGTCTCTCCGAGGCGTCTCTTGCT